TCTTTTTCTTTCTTTTTTTTTTGTCTTGAGTTAGAGTCTCAAGCTGTCACCTTTTGTATTGCACAGCTCACAGCAACCTCAAACTCCTGGGCTTAAGTGATTCTCCTGCCTCAGTTTCCCAAGTAGCTGGGACTACAGGTGCCTGCCATAACACCCAGCTATTTTTTGGTTGTAGTTATCGTTGTTTGGCAGGCCCAGGCTGGATTCAAACCGGCCAGCTCTCATGTATGTGGCTGGCGCCCTAACTGCTAAGCTACAGGCGCAGAGCCATAGTTTAGGTTTCTTTAATACATTCTGAGTTGATTCTTATATAAGGGGTAAGATTAAGGTCCATTTTCATTCTTCTGTATGTGGATATCCATTGTGTGTTCTTGGCACTTTTTGTCAAAAATCAGTTGACTATGTAGATTACTTAAAATATCTAATAAAATATCAGTTTACTATAGATATATAGGTTTATTTCTGGGCTCTCTATCCTAGTCCATGATCAGTGTGCCTGCATTATGCTAGTACCATATTGTTTTGATTACAATAGCTTTATAATATATTTTGAAATCTGATAGTGTGATGCCGTCAAGCTTTGTTCTTTTTGGTTGAGATTGCTGTGTCTATGTAGGGTCTTTTGTGGTTCCATATGAATTTTAGGATTAGTTTTTCTGAAAACTGATATTGGAATTATTTCTTTTTTTTAGACAGTATATCGCCCTCTGTAGAGTGCTTGGCATCACAGCTCACAGCAACCTTAAACTCTTGGGCTTAAGCAATTCTCTCACCTCAGCCTCCCAAGTAGCTGGGACTATAGGCGCCTGCCCGCCACAGCACCCAGCTGTTTTTTTGTTGCAGTTGTCATTGTTGGTCAGCAGACCCGGGCCAGGTTTGAGCCCGCCAGCCTCAGTGTATGTGGCTGGCACTGTAACCACTGTTATGGGCGCCACTTGGCTATGGGCGCCAAGCCTATACTGGAATTTTTATAGGGAATTTTCTTTTGTATTGCATCTGTAAACCACTTTTGGTACTTTAACAATATTGAGACTTTTGGCTTGGCACCTATAACTCAGCAGCTAGGGCACCAGCCACATACATCAGAGCTGGTAGGTTTGAGCCTGGCCAGGGCCTGCCAAACAATAATGACAGCTACAACCAAAAAAATACCAGATGTTGTGGCAGGTACCTGTAGTCCCAGCTGCTTGGGAAGGCTGAGGCAGGAGAATCGCTTAAGCCCAAGAGTTAGAGGCTGCTGTGAACTGTGACACTACGGCACTCTACTGAGGGCCACATAATAAGACTCTGTCTAAAAAAAAAAATATATATATATATATAGAGAGAGAGAGAGAGACTTCCAATTCATGAACATGTGATAGCCTCCTATTTGTGTCCTCTTGAGTTCCTTCAATTAACATTTTGTAAATTTTGGTATACAGATCTTTTAGTTGGTTAAATTTACTCCTAATTTTTAAATTAAAAAAAATTTATGCTATTATAAATGGGACTATTCATTTTTTTTTGTCTAGAAAAATTAAAGTTTGGCTCGGCACCTGTGGCTCAAGTGGCTAAGGCGCCAACCACATACACCTAAGGTGGCGGGTTCGAATCCAGCCTGGGCCCGCCAAACAACAATGATGACTGCAACCTAAATAAATAAATAAATAAATAACCAGGCATTGTGGCAGGCGCCTGTAATCCCAGCTACTTGGGAGGCAGAGGCAGGAGACTCGCTTGAGCCCAGGAGTTGTAGGTTGCTGTGAGTTGATGCCAGGGCACTCTACCCAGGGGGGCAGCTTGAGGCTCTGTCTCAAAAAAAAAAAAAAAGAAAAGAAAAGAAAGAAAGAAAAATTAAGGTTTAATTATAACTGTTAAAAAGGTGTTCCCTGAGACATTTGGACTTAGTTCAAATACATCTCTGAGTCTATATTAAAGTTCACATCAAAACCTAATTTCTGTCTTCGAATTTACTATGCAAAAATCATAAGCTGAAGTACCTCTGGACCCCATGGGAAACAAAACAAAACAGCTAACGTTCAGAACTAAGGATAACAGGTAGAGGATTAAAAAAAGAAAATGAGAATGAAATTATTTGGACCTGATCATACTCCGAAGCGCCCTCTCTGCGAATGCGGCATGCCAGCTCCATGTCTTTGGGTATAATGGTGATAGGCTTGGCATGGATAGCACACAGGTTGGTGTCTTCAAAAAGACCCACCAGGTAGGCCTCGCTGGCCTCCTGCAAAGCATCCAGGGCCGCGCTCTGGAAGCGCAGGTCTGGCAGGAGAGCCTGAGCCACCTCCCGCACCAGGCGCTGGAAGGGCAGCTTGTGGGTGAGAAGCTGTGAGGACTGGTGACGTCGGACTTCCGGCAACGCCAAGGTTCCCGGCCTGTACCGGTGGGCCTTCTTCAGCCCTGCCAGAGGGGGCGCCACCTGCCGGAGACTTTGGTGGACCGTTGCTTTCTAGGTGCCGTCTCGCAGATCTGCTTGCTGCTTGGTCCACGCCAGGGCGGGGGCGCCGGTCTGGTCCCTTCCCCTTGGCCCAGCTGGGCGGGCTGCAGGCGGCGCTGGAGTCACAGAGCGAGGGCGCCCTAGCAGCACGGTGTGTAGGTCCGAAGTCCTGCTTCTCCAAGCGAGTGACTGCTTCCTCTGCTCAGAATGGCACCAGGGGACGTTCAAGGGTGGGTCCACTCGCTTGGAAGCTGCCTTGACTAGGGAAGAATCTGGTGGCAAGCAGACTCAGGTCGGTGACCCAATGGGATGCCCAAGGCTTGGGAGACCCTGCGCTGTCCGTCTTTTCTGGCTGTTGGTCTGGGGGTGCTCTGGGCTCCTAGATGTCTCGGGACTATTTTCTTTTTTTTTTTTTTTGAGACAGAGCCTCAAGCTGTCCCCCTGGGTAGAGTGCCGTGGCATTACAGCTCACAGCAACCTCCAACTCCTGGGCTCAAGCGAGTCTCCTGCCTCAGCCTCCCAAGTAGCTGGGACCACAGGCGCCCGCCACAGCGCCCGGCTATTTTTTGGTTGCAGCCGTCATTGTTGTTTGGCGGGTCCGGGCTGGGGATTCGAACCCGCCACCTTAGGTGTACGTGGCTGGCGCCTTAGCCGGTTGAGCTATAGGCGCCGAGCCGGGACTATTTTCTTAATTTCTTTTTTAGATAGTTCAATTGTTAGTGTACAAAAACACTACTGATTTTGTAAGTTGATTTAGTGTCCTGCAGCTTTTCTGAATTTATCAGTTCTAGCAATTTTTTATTTTTGGTGGAGTCTTTAGGATTTATAATATTGTATCATCAGCAGATGGTTTTATTTCATCTGTTTGAGTACCGTGTCTTTCTTTCTCTTGTATGATTGCTATGGTTTAGGACTTCCAGTACTATGTTGAGCAAAAGTAGTAAGAGCCTTGCTCGGCAGGGCCTGTGGCTCAGTGACTAGGGCACTATGCCAAGGGTAGTGGGTTTGAACCCGCCCCGGGCCAAACTGCAACAACAACAACAAAAATATAGCCGGGAGTTGTGGTAGGTGCCTATAGTCCCAGCTACTCAGGAGGCTGAGGCAAGAAAATCACCTAAGCCTAGAGCTGGAGATTGCTGTGAGCTGTGATGCCATGGCACTCTACTGAGGGTGACAAAGTGAGACTTGGTCTCTAAAAGAAAAAGAAAAAAGAGCCTTGTTCCTGATCTCAGAGGGAAAACCTTCAAGTTTTCACCAGTGAGTATGATGTGAGTTGTAGTGTTGTCATATATGGCTTTTATTGTGTTGAGGAACATTCCTTCTATACAGATTTTTTTGGGAATTATCAGGAAATGATATTTACTTTTGTCAAAGGTTTTTTCAGTGCGCTGGGCATGATGGCTCACGACTGTAATCCTAGCACTCTGGGAGGCTGAAGCAGCTAGAGCTTAGGAATTTGATACCAGCTTGAGCAAGGGCAAGACCCCATCTCTACTAAAAATAGAAAAACTAGCTGGGTGTTGTGGCAGATGCCTGTAGTCCCAGCTACTCTGGAAGCTGAGACAAGAGGATCACTTGAGCCCAAGAGTTTGAGGTTGTTGTAAGCTACTACGATGCCCCAGCACTCTACCCAGGGCAACAGAGTGAGATTCTCTCTCTCTCAAAAAAAAAAAAAAAAAGACGTTTTTTCAGTGTTTATTGAGGTGATGTTCACCATTCTGGATGCAATTAAGAATGTTTGTGATGCATGAGAAGAGATCAAAATATTAATCAACATTAAGAGGAGTTTGGAAGGAGTTTATTCCAGCCTTTGTGGATGACTTTGCAGGGAGTTCTAGACTTCAGTAGAGGAAGTAACTGAAGACATGGTTTTAAGCTATGAAGCTAAGTAGTAGTTTGTTACAGAAGCAATACAAGGTGCAATAAGGAAATGGAAAAGGGCTAAGGGTGCCTGAGATCTGCATGGTGCCTGTGATTAAAAAGAAACAGGGCCATATTGGGAGGCTTTCAAAGCAGGAATAAGAATTTCCTTGACATTGGTGCCATTGAGTGGGGAGAGATGGGATATTGATTGCATTGGCAAGCAGTTTCTTGATCCTGTGTGTATAGTGACATTTCAAGAGTCTAGGAAGATGTCTCCGGGATGGGCCAGAAGGGTGATAGTGGAATAGTGGGAAGGTGGAGATGTGAGGGAGACATGGTCCAAAGAGTGATGTGCATGAGAGGAACAAGCATGATTTGATGCTCTTAGGGTCCTGTTTGGGGTAGGGGTGGGGGTGCTTAGAAGAGAATTCTCGGGTGCATATTGGGATTCATGATCTGAGGAGCCTACAGAAATTGACTTCCTCAGAGTGTAAATGGCATTTATCTCTCATCCTGCCTGTTGTAGTCTGAGACACTGATTGCTGGGTAATCAGGAGAAAATGAGGGCCAGAGGTACCAGTGCTTGGTATCTCTGACTTTGGGGACATGGGAGGTAAATGAGCAGGATGTTGTTGTGGATAGATTAAGGAAGGATCGTTCATCAAGAGACTTTTCATGGACCTTCCTTTCCCTAACTTTGCAGGGCTGTGTGATCTTTCAGGATGTGTTTGTATACTTCTCACGGGAAGAATGGGAACTCCTTGACAATGCTCAAAGACTCCTATACCATGATGTGATGCTGGAGAACTTTGCACTTTTAGCTTCACTTGGTAAGGTCTTCACACCCATCTACCTTTCTCCTTTTCCTGAGGGACATCTCTGCCTTTCTTATGATCAGATCACCAGTACTGTCTCCTTCTCCAGTTTTCTGGGGTAGATGTCATAGGTTCCAGGGCTAAGTCACTTTCTGGGCTGGTGACTCTGTCCAAAATTGTGGTGCCTCTGTGCCCAAGATTCTGCCTCTTTGCCCAGATGACATTTTCTGGAGCCTGACTGCTAGGAGTTAGAGGCACTCACATAATTACTAGTTATGGGGACCTTTGCAATATTACTGCAAAACTTTCCCTTGAGGTTCCTTTTTTAGTAATTAACTTCTTTTACCTCTAATTCTTCATAGAGTGGATGGGTTGCTCTGAGCCAGTCCTGGCTGCTCATTTGTCCTGGCTTTCCCTTAGGAATTGCATCTTCCAGATCACAAGTAGTCATGCAAGTAGAACTTGGGGAAGAGCCTGACCAGGTGGATGTGACTATAGAGAGCCCCAGGGGGAAGTTGGACCTGGTGTGTGAACATCAGGAGACAGCATGATGTCACATCAGGGTTCAAAACCAGCAACATTAACTGTGCACCCCAGAGTTTATTTCTTTTTTTTTCGAGACAGAGCCTCAAGCTGTCCCCCTGGGCAGAGTGCCGTGGCATCACAGCTCACAGCAACCTCCAACTCCTGGGCTCAAGCGAGTCTCTTGCCTCCGCCTCCCAAGTAGCTGGGACCACAGGCGCCCGCCACAACGCCTGGCTACTTCTTGGTTGCAGCCGTCATTGTTGTTTGGCGGGTCCGGGCTGGGGATTCAAACCCGCCACCTTAGGTGTATGTGGCTGGCGCCTCAGCCGGTTGAGCTATAGGCGCTGAGCCCCCAGAGTTTATTTCTAAGGCCAGTGGCTGCACAACACTTCAACCCGTCCTTCACTATTCTTGACTGCACTAAGACTTATTTCCAGTCTGACTTTCCTTGTCATCCCTTTACCTTTCTGGCCTCTACCTCATACCTTTTCCTTCCATTCCTCTGCATTTTCCAGGGGTGTTGATCTGCATTTAATGTTCATGTAATGTGCACCTATCCTTAGTCTTTGACCAGCAACCACTCTCTCATAATTGTTTTTTGGGGGGACCTGGACACATTTTGCATAGTATTCACCTGTCATCAACAGCCAGCGTCCTCCTAGAAGCTGTTCGCTGTGTTCCATCCTTGTATCCTGGCCATTTGCTTTGCCTTTGTGTGACTTTCAGAGGCCTAGTACCTTATCATACTTCTTCCTCAACTTGATCATGCCCCTCATTGTGAAAAGAGTCCCACAGACTCATTCCTGGATTTGTCCAACTCACATTTATAATGGGGCTGCCTACCAGAGTCAACATACATTTCATCAGCATTTCTGTGCTTTCAGGTTGTTGGCATGGAGTTGAGGATGAGGAAGCACCTTCTGAGCAGAATGCTTCTGTGGCAGGAGAGCTGCAGACCAGAATACCCATGAGAGAGCTAAAGACCCACAAATGTTACATGTGTGATTCTACATTGAAAGATATTTTACACCTGGCTGAATACCAGAGGGAAAAAGTCAGGCAGAAGCCATACAACTGGGGGGCATGTGGGAAACAGTTCTGGTTCAGTACAAAGTTTGACCAATACCAGAAGAAGCCCAGTGGAGAGAAACCCTTCAGAAGGGACAAGAATAAGGACTCTATGAACAGCTACAGAGTCCGTGGGCCAGAGAAGACCCACACATGTGGGGAAGGTGACATGGACTTTTCAGCCACTTCTGCCCTTCTTCAGTACCCTGCCCCTCCCAGAAGAATGAAGCTCAATAACAGCACCAAGCTTGAGGGGACCTTTCTTACTGGACAGAGGTATCACAAGTGTGGTGAATGTGGAAAAGCCTTTACCCGGAAAGACACCCTTGCACGGCATCAGAGAATCCACACTGGAGAAAGGCCTTACGAATGTAGTGAATGTGGGAAATTCTTTAGCCAAAGCTATGACCTTTTTAAACACCAGACAGTTCACACTGGAGAAAGACCTTATGAGTGCAATGAATGTGGGAAATTCTTTAGACAAATCTCTGGCCTGATTGAGCACAGGCGAGTTCACACAGGTGAAAGGCTCTATCAGTGCAACAAATGTGGGAAATTCTTTAGCAGTAAGTCTAATCTCATTCGACACCAGGAAGTTCACACAGGAGCCAGGCCTTACTTATGCAGTGAATGTGGGAAGGAGTTTAGTCGCAAACATACACTTGTTCTGCATCAGCGAACTCACACTGGAGAAAAGCCTTATGAGTGCAGTGAATGTGGGAAGGCCTTTAGCCAAAGTTCCCACCTTAACGTACACTGGAGAATTCACAGTAGTGATTATGAGTGTAGCAGATGTGGGAAAGCCTTTAGTTGTATCTCTAAACTTATTCAGCACCAGAAAGTTCACTCTGGAGAAAAGCCCTATGAGTGCAGCAAGTGTGGGAAAGCCTTCACTCAAAGGCCAAACCTTATCAGGCACTGGAAAGTCCACACTGGAGAAAGGCCTTATGTATGCAGTGAGTGTGGGAGAGAGTTCATCCGGAAACAAACACTGGTTCTGCACCAGAGGATTCATGTTGGAGAAAAACCTTAATAGTATGGTGACTATGGGAAACCTTTTGGCCAACACCTGGACTTAGGATTCCTTGGAGAACTAACTGTGACGACAGTAGATGCAGGAAAACCTTTGCCCAAAGGCTGAATCTATCATTGGGAGTTTCTCACTGGACAAAGTCCTTACCAGAACAGGGAATGTCCTGCCTCTTTTTTTTTTTTTTTT